TTAATTATGTTAATTAGCCTGTTGTGCATGCTTGCAATCAGTGGATAGTATTTATCTTTTGGGTGCAGTTAGGTTCATTCTACTTGCTTTGAATTTTGCAGGAACCTCTCTGATGTGTTATGGGAAGCAATATCTTCCCGTCAGGTGCTTTCCCTTTATCAGGGTCTGGGAACAAAAAACCTTCAATCCTTCATTTCGCAGTTTGTCTACTTCTATGGCTACAGCTACTTTAAAAGAATGTATCTGCTGAAGAGCGGTTCTAAACGTATTGGAACCAAAGCAAACTTGGTCATTGCTGCTGCTGCTGGGGCCTGCACTGCCCTTGTGACTCAGGTGAGGCAAAATCAAGATAATCTTTTGCTTTTGGTATTTAACTAATCCAAGCGACCAAAGTTTGTCTCAAAACATTTTATTTGTGCTGAAGTAGAAGCTATATTAGCTTCAGTGGAATTTGAAGAACTGTGGGTTCATTTGTGGCAAGAATCCTTGATATGGTGTTGTCATTTTTGTTAGGTTAAAACCATGATTGTAGTGGAATAAGAAAAAAACATGATTGTATGTAGTCATACCTTTTGGTCCGGCGTATTTTTTTGGTGTGATGTATTTTTTATTATTACTTGTTGGAATATGAAAAGCCAGGGAATGGATTTGTTGCATTTTGGGTTATAAACATGTATTGTCATTCTATTTCTATTATCTTGGTTGCCATGGAGGGATGTGAAAATAAAACGCGTGTCAGTTATATATAGTTTCATACTTCATTCAATGTTTTGTTTTTCTTCTGTTATCATCCCTTCCATCGGAAATGAGATGTCTTATCAAACTAAAGTAATTTAATGCTAGAGTATCTCATTGATGACTGTGTAGCCCCTGGATACAGCCTCTTCAAGGATGCAGACGAGTGATTTTGGAAAATCTAAAGGGCTTTTGAAGACCCTTACAGAGGGCACTTGGAGTGATGCGTTTGATGGTCTCAGCATTTCCTTACTGCTGACCTCAAACCCAGCAATTCAGGTATTCAATGTCCAGCTGTAAATTCTGTACGAGTGGAATTCTGTAGTGGATTAGAGCATTGCCTGTTACATTATTTTCTATTTAAACTGCTTGATTTGGGAGACTAAAATGGCTTAATCCGGATCTACTGTGGTGCAGTATACAGTTTTTGATCAGCTGAAACAGCGAGCCCTGAACAATCAGCAAAACAGTGTAGACAAGGGATCATCTCCAGCATCCCTTTCTGCATTTATGGCATTTCTCTTGGGAGCAATTTCAAAGAGTGTTGCTACTGTATTTACGTATCCGGCTATCAGGTGAGTAATTGCTTCTTCCAACTTGTTTTTACTTGTGGACTTGAGACCAATTTCAGGCCTTTCCACGTTTAGGTGCAAGGTGATGATTCAAGCTGCAGACAGCGAGGAAAGACCGGCCTCAAAATCACAGAAGAAGTCACAGAAAACAGTGTCTGGAGTTCTCTGTGCAATATGGCAAAGGGAGGGCTTACTGGGTTACTTCAAAGGATTGCATGCTCAAATCTTAAAGACTGTTTTGAGCTCAGCATTGCTTTTGATGATAAAGGAGAAAATCTCTGCCACTACATGGATATTTATACTTGCAATCAGAAGGCTACTGTTGCTCCCAAAGGGTAGAGTGAAAAACCTATAAAGTGGGAATAAGTGAATGAAAATATTCAAATCGTATGGATAGCGTAGTTTAGTCCATCTCTCCGTTTCAGAAGCCTGTTATGATGTTTGAAAGCCGCTTCACCGTACAGAATTCTGTTTGCTTGATGAGGGAGGGAGACATTGTGACCAAGTGTGCGTAACTGATGATGTCAAATAAATTTCATTTTGCAATATGTGTGATTGCAAGAAGTATTTTTGTGGATATACGATGCGGTTAATAAAATTGTAGCTTCCCTGAAATTCCCTCCCTCAATTTTTATTGCCCCTTGTTAGAACTGTCTGCTGTGTGAAACGATGGGAAAGTTGACGATTTACGTCAACTTATCTTGACTTCGACCTTCTGTGCTCTGCGATGAAAGATCGAAGCTCCTATTCTCGATACCATCGATTGTCATGTGCTCTTGTTAACATATTGTGTCGATATATTATGGTCTTTTTTCTTTTTTCTTTTTTTAACCAACATATTACTGTTAGATAATGCACTGTTTTTTGTACTTGGCCACTGGTAACAAATGTATTTAGGGCCGTTTTATTCTTGACTATCGTTTCGGCTTCTTTTTCTCAATCTCGTCTTGTAAGAAACACCTCATAAAAAAATGAGAGAGAGACAACTTACTGTCAGATAATGCACTGTTTTTTTGTACTTGGCCACTGCTAACAAATGTACTTAGGGCTGTTTTATTCTTGACTATCGTTTAGGCATCTTTTTCTCAATCTTGTCTTCTAAGAAACGCCTCATAAAAATAAGAGAGAGACACACAAATATAGCACAAGACTTTGTTGGGGGAATTATTTTGAGATCACTTATGACACATTTAAATATTACAAGGTCTATTGACAACTTAGCAAAGGAGATTAAATTGTGTGTAATTATTCCTTGTTTGCATGGAAGAGATTCTTTTGGGGACAAGTTTGGAAGGGATTTTAATGAGAGAAGAAGCAAGAGATTACACGACGAAGGGCTAAATATGGTTTGGTTAAAAGTTTCTTCAAGTGTATCTAATTGTTGGTTAAAAGTAGTGTAGCTACTATTTAGAGTCGGCAATTAGAGGATTGGACTTGAAGAGCCCGAAATTATTTTAGGGCTCCTAATTTTGAAATCCAGCTCTAATTTTTAAGGCTCATCTTACGGACTTTGACCTTAATATTCCTCTCTCTCTAAATTTACAAGCCTAATAAATATATTTATAATTATAAAAAAAGATATTACACATAAAATTGAGTCTAAAAAATAAATTTAAGCAAATCCACAACAAATCTATAAAGTTTAAACATTTAAATTCAACATCACAGAAATGTTATCAAAATTGTGCAACCAATTAAGATATAAATAATAGGCTTAACATTATTTGGAAGAAAAGAATTTCAATATTTTGTCAAAACATATGAATCAATACTAAAAATTGATTCATTAGCCATAATAGTGATTTGAATATTAATAATATCAGTAGTTATCCTTCTAAAGAATTGAAAATCGATATTGATTCTTCTTTTATCAATTCAATATCTAATTCTTTCAAATTATGAGACTTAGTATTGGTTTATCCAAATAAGTTTTTAGTTCAGACTTGTCCATAAAAAAATCATACACACTTGTATAATTAATTATCTTGATAATCATACATTATAATTTGTAAAGGATTAAAGAAATATCACTTAAATACTAATAAAATAAAATAAGATTAGAAAATAACATATTTAATTAACGAAGTATTTAAAATATACATAAAATGCATAATCAAAAGTGATTATTGTTATTGATAAGCACTTGATTTTTTTTAATTTTTTAGTTGAATTTTTTTAAGAAAATAAGTGAGCCTGAGCCAACCCTTAGCCATAAAGGGCCCATGAAAATTCTTGAATTGGAACATGTTACTGAAACAGGCGATATAAGGAAAATCATTAAAAAAATGAAGCAGATGACAGTACTTTTCTTTGGTTCAACATTGTTTGTTACATATCAACACAGCTTCACCGTCTTATACATATGTTTATTGGAAACGAATATTGAATCTCGTATTATTTTTTATAACTAGTATATAGCTTGTGCGGTGCACAGAATGTAAAAAAATGAAAAAAATTAAATAAGAATAATAGTTAATAATTATTCATAATATAAGATGTTATTTGGTGAAAATAATTTTTCTAGTGCTAGCTAGCTATTGACATTTACAAAGCACAAGTTAATTTCAAATTAAAATTTATAACTATCACAATAATATTTCTTATTAATTTTTTAAATGAAATAATTTGTGATACACACTATATATTTTTAGGTATACTTTTTGTAATTGTAATTATGATACAATTAAGATTAATTAAATTTAAAGAAATCTTTAAAATAAGTTTGAAAATGATAAGCCAATAATTAATCTTATATTGGTTTAAAAAAATTGAAAATGGTTCAAATTAATTCAAACCAAAAATTAATTTCATGTCCATTTGTTTTTCACTAAATTTTATGAATGATTATTATAATTTATTTGTTTAAAAAGAACTTTCTATAAATAAAAAAGAAATGAATATAAGCAACAAAAGATCATGATCACCAAAAATAATTTAGAAATCTTGAATCTTTATTAATTTAAATACATTCAACTATTTTTATATGTTCTATACTAAGTTATTATTTCACTTTTAACATTTGCTTTACTTCTTAATATTTGTTGTCAATTTTCATCTCAATATTTGTTATATATTAACACAGTTTCGCCGTCTTATACATATGTTTATTAGAAACGAAAATTGAATCTCGTATTATTTTTTATAATTTGAATGTCAGTCTTTGCATTTACGCTTATCAATTCTCAAGTTAAAATATTACTCCCTATGTAAAAGTTAGTTGGGTGATTTGTTTTGAATTTTGACATTAAATACAAACTCAAAATCCTTTGTTTTTATTATATTTCACCCCAAATTATCCCTGTGGTTAAATTTTGGTACGATTTATAAATTATGTTGATAATTCTTCAATGTAAATTATTAAAAAAGAGGGGAATTTTAAGAAAAATATATATATTTTTATAAAAATGACTAAGTTATCTAATTTTGTTCATCTATAGTAGAAATTAGTTAGGTAGTTTCTATATCTAAGATAAGAGAGAGTATTTGGCCGAAAAAACAAAAGGTGAGAAAGAGTATTAATTTTAATTATTAATATTAATGCAAGGTACAGACACTGCTAGGGGCTAAAACAAACCATTTGGGATTGGAAAGCATTTCTGGACCCGAGAAGATTTGTGTAACTGGGCATTTACTTTTGGGCCTCGAAGCCCAATACTACTTTTGAGGTGTAAATTTACCCCCAAAAAAAAAAGTGTCCTTGACGAGAGGAAATCTGCTGGGGCCGGAAGAAGACGAAGGTGCAGGATACAGAAGATGATGTCAGGAAAGTGTACAACAATTGATGATCAACATGTTTCAGGATCTGTACCTGTGAGTATTTAATCCTCAGACTCATCATCTTCCTGGATTCTCCTTTACTTTCTCTTTTCGGACGTTGAGGCTCTCTTTTGACATTGCAGGCTGTTTCAGACCCAGGACAGGTCGCCGTGAAGTTCACAGGTGCAATTCTGTTTCCCTTTAACGCCGTATCCAATGTACACTCATCCCTTCTGGCGGCCGACTAGATTTCTGTCTGGACATAGACGTGAATGAACTTGAATTCTGAGTTAATAGACCTTGCAATATCTTTCACGGTAGGCAAAGAAATTCCTGAAACAACGTCCCATTGAATCGAGTGTTTATACGACTGGCTGTTTCTGGTTATAATTCGATAAAACAATAGTTTGATCCCTTTTATGCCCGAATAACCAATTTTCATTCTATTAACACGTAGGCTCCAATCTTCAGACATTTCCTCCATCTGTACCGTTAGGAAAGATTTCTGGTGGTTCGTGGCCTCCTCGTGATACTGATGGTACGTGTTAGTTCCAATTGATCTGATTTGTTTGTTTTCTGTCTGGTCACAATAAATACCTGTGAGGTTGTTTTCATTTAAATTACAGTTGGTCCTTAGCAAAGTTGTTCTTGCCAATATCTAGTGAAATTTTTTCAGTAAATATATCTAGTTGATTTTACCTCTTTATTTAATACCTGATTCCTAGAGAAATTAGAATGTTCCCAACGGGTGGATCTCACTGACTCATTTCTGATGTTACTCATGGCATCGCATGTTACTTTTCCTTCTTCACATATTTGATCAGTCTTTTGCATAAAATCTTGTGATGAGATTAGTTTGATTCAGGAGGGGTCTGCTCTGACTCTGACGGATTACTTTGAGATAGAATAGGCAATCTATGCTAAGGATTGTAGCTGAATGGTTTGATGAAAATGGTACTAGGTTCAGTGCATGAATTGAAAAACCGCTCGGGTGACATGGGTCAATGTGAAGCTATAAGATTGGTAAATACTAATCAATGAGAGCCCTACTTTTCATGATCAATTCGGAAAAGACAATTAATATCAATGACTTAAAGCCAAGATTAGTTCATCAATGGCTGTTATTTTCTCCATGTTTCGTGGTGACGTCTCTTATACACATATCTCCTTTAGTCCTTTTGAAGATTGACGCTTATTGCTGACCTGGTCTTACATGCTTTTAGGTTTTAGCAATTTTATAGTTGCAGTTACGAGGTATTATTAGTTTGTTTGCTTATCTGTCAGAGGTACATGGATATGTCTTTTCATTTTATTCATTTGTATACAGATACATTTTCAAATCCTGTATCTGGTTCTGATGAATTCCAGCAGAGTGGCTGGTTTCGGGCTTTCACTGTAGCTGCATACAAGCCATACGTCGATATTGACACTTCAGATGTTCTAGAGAGGATTAAAGAATCACTCTTTCCATTTAGAGGAACCTTCAATGAAAAAACTGCTAGCCATCCTGATCTGTGAGTTTATTTTCTCTTGTTCATTTAACTAACTGATTAAATTACCGATGCCATTGTTCTAGCCCTTTCATTCTTTCTGTATCTTTTTTTGTCTCAAAAACTTTGACATGGATAGTTCCTATGAAAAGATGATGAAATGGTTAGTATCGATACCATTTTCTGAGGAACAGATGTGGCTAAACTATCATGTCTTTTCTTTATTACTAATACCTCTCATGATGAAGTACATATACATGATACAAATGAACAACCATGGTATAAGTGGCTAGGTGCTCGAGCTTGTTTATTTAGGGGTGGAATGGGATATGGATTGCGACATGTTCTTGTCATAAAAAATAACTTTGGCAGCATATTTCCGGAAAGAGCCAATTGGATGATCTGTCATGTTGCAGCATGCGATTTTAATTTGCACCGTAAATATACACAGGTATGGGCCTTTCTGGATCTGTACAACTTTAATATTTGTAGCAGCCTCTATTTGCACATTTGTGACATATATAGCACACAAGTTGAAGAACAAGGAATGGAACTATGACATAAATCTGGTGACTTGGGCAGCTGGTTTGTTTTACGGTTATGTCACCATTGTTCCTCTTGGTCTGTATGTAATCCTCAAATACTTATCCGCACCATCCAGCCTTGTTCAACTATTCTGTCTCTATGGATATTCCACCTTTGTCTTTATTCCGGCTTTGGTGAGTTAGTGCTCCTCATATTTTCTCCGTTCGTAAAAGGTATGAGATGTGCCCTTTTCATCCTTGGTATTTAAAATCCTTTGGTTTGGTGCAGTGTATGTCAATTGTGCCATTGGAGATCATCAGATGGGCGATTGCAGGTGTTGCTGGAATCATGTCTGTATCGTTTGTGGCACTTAACCTCCGTGCACATATCCAATCGGCAGGAGAAAGGTGGTTCTTGATTGTTGCTGGCATCTTTCTTTTGCAGCTGGCTCTAGCTGTTGTCCTAAAGTCGTATCTCTTCACAGTATCAGTTTGAAAGGAAACTGATCTGGTATCATCCTAAGAAGCGGGAATATATATATATATATATATATATATAACAAAGAGCTTTTTTACCGTCTTCTAGAGGCTTTTTTGTTTTTTTTACCTGCTTCTTTCAGAGGCTCAGGCCTACATTGTATAGAAGAAATTGTTTTCTGCTTGAACCCTCGTCTATTATTTTATCGGTGGCAAATATGTAGGTTCCTTGTGCAGTTGGGCCTTCACATTTATAAACACTTGTCTTTTATACTCCAGGGCTTACACACACTCACACAAAGTGTTTTGACATTTGTTGTTACACGCGATATATTCAGTTCATACTAAGAAAAATTGTCAGAATTTGTATGGATGAATGGGTTTTACCGGTCAAACGTCAGATTCTATGGCTTAGCTTGAAGTCTCAAATTTAAATAATTTATGATCGAACTTACGTCGAACTTGTTTGCTTCTGCTTATTTAGCACTGATAGGATGTGATTGACTCTGAAAATCCAGAGAAACTCTGCTCTTAGACATGGCCAGAACATAGACAGTAAATATGCCAGCTTTAATGCAAATGGATGACCGTCTGTTTTGATGAATTCCTTGGAAACAACTGCTTTAAACAACTAGCCACAATTCCATGATTTTGTATGGAAATTCTGGATTCTTCAATGTTAGACGAAATTTGAAAAAAATGATAATCACGTTAATGAAGAGTAAAACAATACTTTCTTTGTTTTTTTTAATAATATAATATATCCTATTAATATATTAACGCATAAAATTGTTGGTAAAAAAATATTAATGCATACAATTTAATGATGATTTATTGGGAATCCAAAATCTCGTGCCCATTGCCTACAAATTTGATGTAGAAGTGCTTTGACTTCAATAAAGTCAATAATTTTAGCTAAGTCCGACGGATTAACTTAAACCCGCCTGACAAGAATTAAGGCCAAACTTGATTATATAAGTTTTTTTAAAATGATAGAATATTTTAAAATTGATTTAAATAAGACCAGCTATTGAAATTTCTAACTCTATATGTATATAGAGTCAGTAATTTTAGTCAAACCCAACAGCCTAGTTTGAACTTGGCCAAAAAAAGTTAAAACCGAGTTTAACTATATGAGTTTTTTTTAAGAGGATAGAATGTTTTAAATTTTATCCAAATAAACCTGACTTAAATTGAATCTGACCTAAATAAACCTACTAGACTTTCTAGCTCTATATATATGTAGAATCAATTATTTTGGTCAAATTCAACGAGCTAACCTGAACCTAACCAAAAAAAGTTAAAATTAACCTTGATTATATAAGTTTTTTTAAGAGAATAAAATATTTTAAATTTAATCCAAATAAATTCAGTTAGAATTAAACTCTACTTAAATAAACTTGACTTTCCCGAATTATAAGCTTATTGCTTCAGCAATGCGAAAAATACTAGTCCGGACGAGTAACAAAAAGTGGTTACCAATTTCATTTTTTCTATCCTTATATTTTCAGTTTTAATATTTAAAGTACACAATTCGTATATATATTTGTCACTGATTTGTCTCTTCCACGTCAGACACGGGGTAGCAATCATGGAGACAATCATATCCGTGTTGTGTTGATCAATAAAAAGGTGAAAAATTATGACGCTATTTGGGGAAAAAAATTACATTGATTAAGCAAAGTTAGCTAACTCTTAGTCAGGCCAGACAAGGTTGAAATTCAAATTGGTTAATAGTATCGAATATGTGAAAGTTAAAAATAAGAAAATGCAAGTACGAAAATCGTTTTCCCCGCCAAATACTTGCCGAAAACCTCGTTTTTTCTTTAAAATCTTTGAAGGTGACCTGTAACGAACAAAGGCCATCCTTCTGAACGCAATATGAATCATTAACGAATTAGGCTTTGGAATTGGCAGAAATATTCCGGCATGGAGTGGATGCATCTAAATGTATCAAAAGCAACTTTCGTCTAACGAGCCCGTCCTTCATCACCTGCTCACTATCTCTTGTATAAATTGGCCAGAGGCTGTTTTGGTCCTCCATTCGTTGAACTCTTCCGAAGGATTGTTCGCTATAAAACTCTGCTGAAAATCGTAGCACCTATTTTCCAGACCGGATCCCTCTTTTCAATCAATTTGGTAATAGATTTCAGTATAGACATAGCTCCATTAAAATGAACACGCTTCGGCGCCCTGCAAGACACAAAGCAATAGTGACTTCAGAACCCGACTCCATCAATGACAGAATTTTGTCAACTTCGGGTTACGCTCAAGTCTCAGATTCTCTGGCCATTGATTCACCCACAATAATCCCCCTCCGCTGACACACTAACTCCTGAACGGGCTAGATTTTCATTTGAAAGACAGCTAAATTGCAAATTGATGCTTCAGACTGCTAATTTTATGCTGTAGACGATGAAAACATAACGCCTTTTTCCCCGTCCATGTCAAGCCTGCTAAAACTTAACATTTAGAGGGAAACTAGCACACTGCAAACCAGAATCAATTTAACGAAGAAAAATTCCAACATACAAATCTAAACAGTAAAGAAGTTACAAAGTTTGTGGATTAATGCAAGTTACAGAATTTGCCAATTTAAAGAACCCTCTGACAACGCCTCTACAAAAATAGTTTAGTTGTATGATCGCATTTCTATAGGCGCCCTTTCTTTGATTCCACGTGGTTATTAAGAATCATTTACTCAAAGGCAGAGGGAGGGGAAAATGATAGTGAAAGGAGAGGTGGCAGCAGGTTATAACAGGGAATAACACAGGGATAAACTAAGATTCATTTCAAAATGAACTCTTTAAACGAATATCAGACTCAAAAATTATGCAATTAGGCCTTCGATTTCTTCCCTTTGGCATCATTAGTTGTTTGGTTCTTGAAAGGAAGAAAACTCTTTCCACCCATGAATGGCCTGAGGGCTTCTGGTATCGCCACACCATCCTCCTTCTGGTAGTTTTCTAGTATGCAGCAAATAGTCCTCTCAGTAGCGGTGAGAGTAGAGTTCAACAAGTGAACATATTGCTTAGTCTGCTCATTGCTCTGCAACAGCAAAAAAGAAAAAGGAAATCCAACAGCCCAACAGTTAAATCCCAACCACACTTCTGAGTAAACAAATTTTCATGGCTGCATCTCTCCTAGGTCTCATTTCCACAATTAAGAACCACAATCACTTTCATTATTTCCAAAAACAAGCTGAATGAAATCACATTCACTTGGAATTTTAAGCTAAATAGATATTTGATGTTGGCTCAAAAAAAAAAAAAAAGATATTTGATGTTAAGATTTGCAACAAATTTTGTGACTAGCAATGCCGAGAAATTTGATAGATATCATGCCTAGTCTTAAATTAATTCAGTATAGAAATGAAGAATTTTATAGTTTTCATTCAAAGGTTATTGACGAAAGTGAACGCCATCTAAATTTATAATGACAGGGCATAGCTGACCTTCTTTTGTCCATATCGAATTTCTAATCTTCTGGCCTGATAGTCAGTACAGTTTGAACAGGAAACTAGCTCTCTATAAGCCTGAGATGCTGGAAACCAGGCTTCTAGATCATACTTCTTTGCTGCAGCGTCATTCAAAGCACCAGATACAATGGAAACTACTTGATAAGGGAGGTCTAACTGCAATGGTAAGATTCAAACAAAGGGGGAACATAATAAAGTTAATTTGTGCAGAACACAACCGTTGCAGCAATTTTCCAAGTAATAACATTTATACACAGGCAATCATATATTTACACGCACTTGATATTTTTCATTAATATCATATTAGGATATACTAAACAATACCCTTGACAGGCATCTTCAGCAAGTCAACTAAAAAATGATGATTCCCATTATATACAGGTGCTGAGGATCCAATAATCATTTCCAAATCAATAGGAACATATACAATAAAATTTATAACATAATATAATATTCACAAGTCAAAAACAATATATAGTCATTTTAAGCTAAAATATGCACTCAAAGAAGTAAACTGATAATATAAATCATATTCTAATTGCTTGTTGAGGGAAAACACTTACTGCTTTATAAAAATCCTCAGAGTTTTTCATCATTTCCTCGTGCATATCCCAAGAATCATTGCCATTTGGGCTAGTGAGGCAAAACTGCTCCACTTTCTCAAACTGGTGAACTCTAAATATTCCGAGAGTATCACGACCATGAGATCCAGCTTCCTTACGGAAGCATGAAGAATATCCAGCATACCTAGCAAGAGCATATTTTTGAATCAAAAGCTAAAGCAGTCCTTCAAATATTATCTCGTTCCCTGGATAAATATTACCTTATAGGTAGTTGAGAAGGGTGGATCCAATCATGTAAATGATATGCACATAATGGCTGCTCAGCCGTTGCAATAAGATATTTGTCTTCTCCTTCACCTGTAACCTGCATAACAACTCAGATATGATCAGAGGAAAAGACTACACCTGAAATGTTTTGCATAAAAGAAAACCAAATCGTTACTGTGTCAGTGCTATATTATCAAGCATACTAACTAGTCATGCACTCATTCCATTCATTTAAACCAAAAAAATTTAACTTTATATATACAGAAGCAGCACCGTCTCTACATCACCGAACTGCAGCCTGAAAAGAAAGCTATTGAATCAACTTATGAATTCTACCTTGTATAGTTCTTCATCAAATTGGGCTAACTGAGCACACTTTGACATTATATCTTTTCTCATGAAGAAAGGGGTATGCAGCAAAGTATATCCTCTTTTCTCCAAAAAATCAAGTCCAAAGTTAATTAAAGCTTGATTGAGACGAACACCATCTCCTTTGAGATAGAAACCTCTACCTCCAGCAACATCGGCTCCTATTATGTATCAAGCAACATCACATAAAACACTAGGATATGTTAAAAAGGAATAGTAGCACTAGAAATGCATGCATTTGCAAAGTTCATGGCTGGAAGGTTCAAATGCTACTGTTTTCTGCACTATACAAATACAGCATCAAATAGTTGCATTTTAAAGCATTGGGGTAACAAATCTGAATGAGAATTGCATGCCAACATGCTATATGGAATAGTAAATTACATGAAAATGTGTCATTTGTAAAAGACATCTCCTAATCCACCCCCCCAAAAAAAAAAGATTATTCCTTGAGCACCAGATAAATAAAATTATACCTTTCTTTGTATCTGCTATTTCAAGAAGCTCAACTAGATCCACATGATTCTTCAGTTTAGGCTCCATTCTTTTCTCCCCCCATGATCTAATCACCGCGTTGTTGGCCTAAGAAATATTATAGATTAATGATGCTTGCACACGTTTGAGAACGAATTAAAAAGCAACAAATTCGACCAAACAAAACAAGAAACCTCATCATTGCTGACTGGAACTGAATCA